GAAGCAACTCGTATGGGGACGATTTTTCGTTCTCTTGTTTTCATATTGTTTCTTCTTCTTCTTCTTCTTCTTATTCTTCTTCTTATTATTATCATTATCATTATTATTATTATTATTATTATTATTATTATTATTATTATTATTATTATTATTATTATCTTCTTCTTATTATTGTTTGTGATTCTTCCAAGATCCGCCTGTTGGAGGACATGCCCGGCTTACCGCCAAGCCCACGGATCCGTAATGTGTCCATGCTGGCGCGCGCACGGGAGGTGCTCGGTCCCGGCCCCGCCTCCCCGTGGGGCAGGTCTTCGCCCCCGGGCCCATCCTCGCCTGCCAGGAGGGGAAGATCTAGGCCTCCTAGATTCGGGGGCGGTAAAGAGGGGGGTGATGACTAGGTGGGTGGATGGATATCATGGCGAGGGCCATGATATTTTCCCAGATTTCATGGCGCCTCTCCTTGTTTCATTACGTCCCCAGCCCCCCCCGCTGGGCCGCGCACATGCCGCCTGTCATGACTTGCACCCCCCCCCTCTTGGACACCCTCCTCTTGGCCGCCCCCGAGGGGAAGATCTAGGCCTCCTAGATGGGGTCCGAGTAGACGAGGTCGAAGAATCGTGCCGCTTCGCTGATGCATCGTCGATGCGGCTCGACGTGCAGCCCGATTTGCTTCACGTCGACGTCGCCGATGCATCGCCGACGTCGCCAGTGCATCGCCGTTGCATCGCCGATACAGCGCCGATGCATTGCCGATGCATCGCCGATCTATCGGCGATGCGGCGCGATCCTCTGTCCCCATCTACTCCGACCCCATCTAGGAGGCCTCTAGAAGAACAGCGCACAGGCACACACCATCATCGATTCCCGAGACGGCATGGAGTGAATGGTAGGGGAAGTGGACGGGAAGACGAACATCCAAGAGATATGGGAAATAGGGGGAAATCCTGGGATTTGTGCCTGCTCATTTGTGTGTGTGTCCCTGGGCCCTGGGCTCCTGGGCAGAAGATGGCTCCTGGGCTCCTGATCGCCCCTGGGCTCCCAGCAGAAGCGCGGGGACCGGAAGCGGAGTGCAGTCGGGGGCGGCCTCAACGACCCCCAGCAAATCATTCCCTTCCGTGACGTGCCCCTCGCGCCACGCCCCAAGGCTGAATTATGTGCGCGGACGGAGACGGGGGTCGATGCAAACGGGGGTCGTCAGTCAGAGCGCTGGCTCTTGCAGGATCCTGCAGGATCTTGCAGGATTTTGCAGGACCCTGCAAGGCCCGACTGACCCGGGTCTGGAGTGACACAGGTCAGTAGATCCCCGCCGAGGGTGACGTCACGGAAGGGGATGGTTTGCGAGGGGTCGGTTAGGCCGTGCCCGATACAGTCTGATTGTATCGGGCTCGGCTTGACCTACCCTTAATGTCAGCTTGTGATCAACAAATGGCCAGACCCCCCTCCCCCCCCCGGGGCTGATCAATAGACCCCGCGGAGCGCGATATTTTTTGTAAAAGACACGCGCGCCGGG